ACAGAGAGTAGAGAAATAGACATTACAACTTCCTGGTCATAGCCCTGATTTTAAGACACAAGGACAATTATTATGAGAAACTTGACTGATTTCCACAGTATTTTTAAATCTATTCACTTTTCTATCTTTCATACTTAGAGAATATGCTTGGCCTAGCAGCTCTTTTCCCTAGGGTTGGTAGGAATTCTTGGAAAGGTTCCAGAAAGTATTTTAGGCTGGAGTTTGAAAATGTCCAGTTCTTACTCAGCCCTTAAGATTTCTCGTCTGTAAATACGGTGAGAGCAGTGCCGTCGCATCTGTGGCCCCATTCCCGATAGCCAGTAATTCATGTGAGCAGATCTCTCTCTGCGATATTTGCTTGGTCATGATTAAAAGAAAGCTGAGGTAAGAACAAAGAATTGTTACCTAGGAGAGGACCATCTATACACAGGGCAGTATGCGAGGAAAATAGAACTCAGGCGACCATGTGCACCAATTTCTTTCCCGCCCTGGCCCAACAACATCTGGATGCTGCCCTTATCATGCCAAGTCCTGCTCTTTTCCTCTTCACTGTGCTCTCTGCAGATGGTCACCTCTTGTTGACACAAAGCTCCAGTTGTTGGACCCAGTCCTAGAATGTTTAGGTGGTGAAACAAAACACAGAGGTTGTGTTTTGAATGTTTTTTAGAGCAACAGAATAAAGTGATGTCTGGAAGTGGGCAATACTCTTGGAGAACAGAACCATCATTTCCCTTGTCAGTGTTTTCTTCCCAACTTCAGTATCCATCACTACGCTCTAATATTCAGGAGTCCTAATGAACAGGAATAAATACCATAGTAGATAAATAGCGATGATTAAATAATGATGAAGTCACTGCAGAACAAATTTTGCATTTGTGGCCTGATTTGCTGGGCTTATATGGACAGTTTCTGTCTTTTTGCCTTTTGACAAGTTCTGCTGTTTTGATAAGTGTACTCTTTATGAAAATAATTTAAATTATTCTGATGTTAATTCTTACGTTTTACTATAACCAAGATAAAAACAGCCTCATAGGTGGTTAAGGCTGACACTCATGAAAGTTTCAGTGCATCATATATCAGTCTGAAATTGTGAGGGCACTTGGCCAAACTCTAGAGGCACAGAATCTGATATTTGTTAGCGTTTCCTGCTAGCTTTCAAAATGTTATCCAGTTTTCAGGTTACAATCCAGGATTCCTACTACATTTAATTTAAAATCTGCCAAAACCAATGTCAGTCTTTTAAAATTAGAAAATAAGGACTGACTCAGTTGAACATTGTGGTTTTCAAGACCTCAATATCTATCAGTGATGGACTACATACTCTGAACCAACTCATTGAGAAAAGCTAGAAAAATTCAATAGAGATAAAAATTATCTACTTGACGGCATCAGAGAGATGATAGAACAATTTTAAAAAGAACAATTGGCTAAAAAGAGGGGAGGGTTGTCCTAATAAGGTCAGTCCATCTAACAGGGCTCATCCTGGGACAGCTGAGGACTTCAGAGAGTTTCTACAGCCTTAAAAATGTAAGTGCTTTTTTATACATTCATCAATTGATGGAAATTTGGGTTGTTCCAAGATTTAACTATTAATATTGTGCTGCTATAATCATGGGTGCAAATGTATCACTGTGATATGATGTTTTCAATTCTTTTGGGAAGATAGCCAGAAGGGAAATAGCTGGGTGAACTGGAACCTCTAGTCCCAGTTTTTTGAGGGATCTCTCACACTAATTTTTACAGTTGTTGCACCAGTAGTGCAGCCCCTCTCCCTACAGCCCCTCCAATATTTGTTATTGACTGTTTTCTTGAATGATAGTCATTCTTTCTGGAGTGAGATGGAATCTAAGTGTTGTTTTTATTTGCATCTCTTGAATGACCAATGATGCTGAACACGTTTTGCATATATTTATTTGCCATGTGTATTGGAATACTACTCAGCCATAAAGAAGGACAAACTGGAGACTTTTATAAGTCAATGGATGCAATGTGAGACCATACACATAAATAACATAAATGAAATAAATCAGACTCACATATATAAACATCATAATGTCTCCCTGGTGGGAGAAACTGAAAGAATAATTAAGGTCTAAAATGCACAGTAGATATTGTGAAATAGGAAGGAATTGTTCAAAAGGAAAAAGGAACCAGAATGATGAAAGGAGAAAGAAAGCAGAGAAAAGGAAAAATGCAAATCAGGTATACTATTAGTGTCTTTTAGTTCATTAAAAGGAAATATCATTTGTGCTAATATTAATTGGAGAAATTTATCCCCGTATTTTGTATCCTAATCAACTACTTTAAAGACAACACATGCTGCATTAACTATTGCTTTTTTTCCATTATTTTGTCATGAGTTTCGTTTTATTTTCTTTCCATAAAATAAAAATATTATTTTAAAAAAGTGTAGGGCAACCCATTCAAGACTCCTTCTGTCTTTCTTCAGACAGAAGCTTTCTTTCTTGTAATAAATATATTCTTAACCTCGTAACCTCCATTGTTTCTAAAATTCATTGATTTTAGAGGACACAAATTTTTTATCAGACCTCCAGTAAGCTGGAAATTTCTTTTCTCTATAACATTTGGAGGTCTTCCACTGAGACCATTGGATGAAGGTAAGAGTTTGCTTTTGTTTCATAGACTCTGGACTGGGGCTAATTTAGGTAACAAATTTTATGCTTCAAATTTTGCTCTGTCTTTGCCTGTTGTTTTAATTACTTGACATAATTGCCTGTGATTTGTCTTTGCCCATTGTTTATAATTGCCTTGTCTCTGATATAGTTTTGTTAAAATAATGATAAATCTAAATTAAAACATGCAAAAATTATAAATTTATAATTTTTTAATGGGACACTTTATTTTTTTCATGTACATGTTGCATTTGAATTAGTTACTAAATTTACTGGTGCTCCTTGATTGACTTTATTGAGACAAGAGAGATCGAGAGAATAACATTAGAATGCCCCTAGTAGAGTTTAATATAAGCTTCTATAAAATGGATTTAAACAAAATCTAGTTCAGACAAAAAAATATACATGCCTACAACAAAACTGGGCCCCCTCTCTACTGTTTAAATAACACTAGGCTGGTGGCTGGCTTTAAAGGCGTAGAGGACAGATTTCAGTGAGACAGACTGACTCTGATCTTCCTCTGCACTCTAGAGGAAGGGTCAAAGCTGTTCTGCTTCAGTTTTGTTTCTTTAGCTTTACTTCCAATCATTTCCCCCACTTTGTACTTTCCATTCTATAAGTTTGAAAAATTAGAAAAGAAATCTGGACTGTTTCAACCTTTTTCTCTTACTGTGTTAAGTCCATAGAAAATAAGCATTTGCTAACACTGAAGATGGGAAGTCATCTTTGATGAGGAACACATAACCCATCTCTGGGTCAGATGAGACTGTGACTTTTGCCTGTCCAGGAGAGCACACATAAAAGCCATGTTGTGGCTTGGTGTTCTGGGCAACAGTCTCTCTTGGGAGACTAAACGTGAAACACAGTGGAAAGAACCAACTTGTGGGTGAAATCAGAAGAAACAATATCCAAAAACAGCATACTTAGGTGAACACCTTTAGACTAAGGGAGACTTTCCAGTATTTCATTTATATGAAACTACTTCAATAATAAGTTGCAGACTTTAAACCTTTATTGTAAACTTATAAAGCACTAGACAATAATCTTGCTCAGACTTTCAACTGTTCCTTATAGGACCTTGACAAACAGTGTTTACTCTGCCATCTAATTAATCACTCCTACAGCAGCTGCCACTTGTAAAAGCAGAGGACGGTTTCCCCGCATGTCTTTGGTGAATCCCTATTGAAGCCAGTGGTGGCCAATGGAATCAGTGGAATGTTGACAAGACAGACAGCTGGATTCCTTTCTGGAAACTGATCTCTGGTTGTGTAGGCCAATAGAACTGAGAACAACTGAGGGGTTATTGCGAGGACACCCAAGGATTCCTCAATAGAAATTGACTCCCAGCTACAGACAAATCTCCACTTATCTAAGCTTATTTCTGTGCTAGTATATTAGAAACGCTCCCTAAGCTTTTCAGTAGATTTTAAAATCACTTACACTACTTCTCCCTTCAGAGATTAAACTGAGGCAGTTTGCAACCATTGTTTACATTTTACAGCAGCTAGCAGGGGAATGATTTCCATTTGTGCCTTACCTATGTTAATTAAGAGTAAATAGCCTTTTCTTGTATGTGTGCATAGAAGACTGATATGCTTTTGCTAATATATAAAATGTGATTGTTAGATAATAATTTATAAATTTAGCCTGTGAGCTTCAAAGATACAGATATTTTAGTAAAGCATAGCCATGTACTGTTGCTAGGAAATATTGCTCAGGTGATTAGATAGGTAACACAACTGACTCGGAGGCTTCTTTGCTCCAGAGCCCAGGACTGGAATTCCCCAAGTCATTTGTTGCCTTATCTATCTCAAGAGGTGATCGCCTTCATGGCACAGCCAGAGAAATCCTCTTTACCAACTTTCCTTTTTACATACAGCCTCTTCCAATGAACAAAAGCAATAGTCTATTACAAAGTTATGCTTCTTTCTTTAAACATTCCTGTCATAGTAACTCATGAATGTATTATGGAAACAAAGTCTATGAGCTACTGAGAAATATAAAACGGCCTGTACTGTAGGGAGCTGTTGAAGCTAGAGATTGATCACATGTTTGGGGTTAAAGCAAGCCCAGAAAAAACAGAGGGACCAAAACAAGCTAGATAAACAAGTTGTTACAGCACCAAGAAGGAAAGGAGCCCAGACCTGCCAGGCAAACAAGTTGCTAGGCAGTGGGCTTGAAACTGACAATCTTCTTTGGAGGGTACAAATAAACTTGCTTCACTGGGTGAGCAGTTCCTTTCCTGCCATCAGGAGGATAATGGCTCCACCCAACCCCAGTTTTGTCTTTTGTTTTTTTATTTTCTCATCCACTCATAGTCCTTAACCCCAAGAACCTCAGGAGCTGCATTGGGTCACAGCACTATACCAGTTCCAGGGTGGACAGGCTGGTTGAATTTTGTCTTCTACTCTTTAAGACAGCATCCACATGCCCTGGAGTGGAATATCAAATAAGAATAAGAAAAGAATACATGATTATATCCTTTTTGCATAGATAGGTAGCTCAAAGCCTCTTGTACTATAGGGTTAGAGACATAGATCAGCAAAAGGTCCTGAGTTCTATACCTGGTACAAAAAATGTTTCATACCCTATGTCTTGCTTTTTTACATTACAGACATGGGCAGCTCAGTGTCAAAGTCCTTATTCCAGTGGAATGCATTCCTAAACCCTGGAAGACGTTAGAACCTTCCATGTTGAAAAAGAGCCACTTGACATTTCTCTGCACACGTGCATGGCCTACCCACCCTCTAGAGCCAGAATGGAACGCAGAGGGAAGTATTAATTATGATATTTTTTTACTACTAAAGGCAAACTGTAAAAATGAGAAAATAATGGTTAGAATTGTTTGATGTTCAAACTTTTTTAATGTTAAGAAATAATTCTTATTTATACTTCCAATATAATTATAATCCTTATGAGACTGTCCCCATTCATAGGTCTGTTTCTCTTAGTGACTTAAAGCTAGAACTAGGAAAATTTTCAGATGACCCTGCTAAGTACATCAGTGTCTTAGAGGACTGACTGAGCTTTATGAGCTAAATTGGAAAGATGTGATGTTAATCTTAAATCAAACATTGATTCTTGCTATTGCATTTGGAGATGAATCTCATATTGTTAATTTTAGAAGGTCAGAGGATAGCCAGAGGAACCACTCATTCCCACTGAAGCACAAACAGTTGCCACCCAAGACCCCTACTGGTCTAGCAACCAGACAGGAGATTAGAGCAGGAGACATTTTCAAATGTGTGCCCCTGAAGGTCTAAGAAGGACAAAAACTAAGCCTTCTAGTTATTTTAAATTTTCAGCTATTTTTTAAGGAGAAAGTTGAAAACCCCTCTGACTTCTTAGATAGTTTACTGGAGGTACTGATAAAATACACTTCCCTAGATTATGACTCAGTAGAGTAACAGATTTTGCTTAAAGACTTATTACCCAGTCACCCCAAATATTAGAAAAATTACAAAAGATAGCCTTTGCTCCAGAGAGTTCACTTGATACTTTAGTTAAAATTGCCTCCTTAATATTCTATAATCAAGACTGGGAGAAGTCCAAAGAGAGAAAACAAAGAGACCAAAAGGTGGCTGCCTTCATTATGGCCTTAAAAGAAACAGATCTCAAGTATCAAATGCTACTACTGTGCAAAGTCAGGCCATCTTAGGCCACCTTAGTCGGCCACATAAGAGGTCACCCAAACCACATTCTGACTGTAAAAGGTGGCCATTGGAGGTCAAACTGCCTTCTGAGGCCAAGACCCCAGAGTTCAAACCCATGCTATCAGTTGGTCCTGAAAAGCTAAAGGGCCTCAGGGCACTTTGCCTCCTCCCTGTGGCCAAACTGTCAGCTCTACCAGTCACCTCTGCTGAGGAGCGCTGAACAGTCATGACAAGAGGTAAAAACCAGCCTAGTGCTGGACATTGACGCATGTCTCTTTGTCCTCAACTCTGGTCTTCCTTCTAGGCCTCGCACCTTAAACAACAGTCAACAGAAGTATGTTACTTGAACTGTAACTGGGAAAACTTCCTCTTCACTTATTCTTTTTAGTTATGCCTAAAATCCCAACTCTAATTCCAGAAAGAGTTAATCCTGTGTAGATTATATATATATATATATATATATATATATACACATCCAAGTTGTCAACTAATCAAAATGCTGAGACAAGTGTTTTACAAATATAGTACATATTATTGTTCATATATAAAAACTTAAGAGTTTTTCACTTGTCAAAATAATGTATTAATCTTGTTTTCATACATTATCAAAAATTTAGAGATAATTATACTTAAAGCTAGAGGGACTTCAGACTCCATCAATAAAGAGACCTAAGTGTCAATAAGTTATGACTACTATCCTTTAAACAGTTTCTTTTTTCCTTTTTATCAGTACCTGATCTGGCCTGCGGACCAGTTTGTGGGTCTCACCTGGAGAGGGGATTGGGGATGGGGACAGGGCAAGAGAAAAGAGAGATGGAGACAGGATGCGATTCCAATCCAGTCTCGTTTATTTTCAAAATGGCTACCACTTATATAGGGTGGGGGGCGGGCCAAGGGCAGGAAGAGGGCACAGAGTGTTATCTGATAGGTCACCATCACATCCGGATATATGATGTAAGCAGGAGAGGATTATGGGTAATGTAGGCGGACATGAGGATCATGGGAAATGTAGGCTGACACACAAAATGCCCTCAGGCAGGAGGGGCAGGGCAGCAGCAGCTATTCAAAGCCGCTCCCTACAAGTACCAGGGATCGAACTCACGACTGCTTGCTTGCAAGGCAGGCACTATGCCACTGAGCTAAATCCCCAGCCCCTAAACAGTTTCTAAACTTACCTGTCAGCTCTAATGGTGTTGATTTGATTACACATGTCTTTGTATACTTTGATTATACATGCTTTGACTAAAGTTTTCTCTTGCCCAGAAAGTGCCAAACTCCAAGGCATCATACAGAAGAAACCAATAACAAAAACTAGATTTCTTTTAGATTCCTTTTACTCAGACCACCAAATCTTGTCCATAGAAAAAGTTACATGACACAAATTGAGGCCTTAATTAACTGTAGACAAGTTTTAAATGACACCACAGCTGGTCTTTCTCCTAAATAAACAAAGGCAAAATTAATGAGCAGGTCATCCTCCAAAATCATATGGCATTAGACATTCTAACAGCAGTGCAAGAGATACTTGTAAATTGTAAAAACTAAATGTGTGTACATTTCTGACCCTTCTGCTAATATCACAATAACTGTTCAAGATATTAGATGACAAATCAAGACATGTCAGATTCCAAAATTCCCTGAACCTTCCGTATCGTCCTTATGGGAAGCCATTACTAGGTCCTCCTGGTAAAGATCTTTGTTAATTGTACTCATAATTAGCCTGTTGATTCAATTATTTGGTCCATGTACATGTGATTGTTTATTTGGCTTTGTTTCCTTCAGACTTAAAGCTGCATGCCTACCCAAGATGAAAATTCCTGGTGTCTATGGAGGGCCTTTGATGGAACCTCTGCAGAGTATCCCTGACTGCCAAACAACATCTACAACCTCCTTCAGCTTGAAGAAGCCAAATTGATCATCATCCATTTTTCCCTCATGGCAGTTTGGGATACTTCTTCAGCAGGGAGAATGTTAAAAGCATCTAAGTGTTAGTTAGAAATATTATAGGGAGTCAGACAGGGCTGGACCTTCAAAGGAGTCAATGCAGAAGACATTGGAGGAGAGAGACATCTGCAGTGGGCCAGATCTCAAGACAGAAGGCAAAACAAATGCAACCACACCCTAAGTATAAACATCAGGGATTGATATTCTAAATAGGTATTGATCACCTTGAGGAAGCCAGGAGTCACCATCCCAAGTCCCTGCAGGAAGAGTCACTACTCTTTAAACATGTTCCCTTGCTACATGACTCACTTCCCAATTTGTCACCAATTTACTCAATTTTACCTGAACAATTAATCTTATTGGTTGAACACAGTTCTGTCCTACCTCACGCCTGCCTGCTTTAGGAGTTTTCATGTTTTCCCCATCTGGGACCCTCTTACCTTGTGATTTTGCTTCATAAAACTTCCTAGAAAAGACAGTGTTTGGCAACCCACTTGGGACCCCTTTGTCTCTCTCTCAATGGAAGCTTTCTTTATCTCAACAAATATATTCCACTCTTTAAAAAGTTATCTGAAAAAAGTGTAAAGGCTGAACATAAAACTTGGTAAACTACTGACATCTTAAATTTGGATCCCAAAATACTATACTTTAGGAGTAAGTGGCTCTCTTACCCTGACTCTAAACCATTCAGATTACTTGGAAAATCTCAAACAAAAAGTTGATTAAAACAATCCATGATTACCAATGTCCCCAAATTCTTAGAGAAACAGACAAAAACTTTCTAGAGAAACATAATAGTGTCCTATACTCCAAATTATTTCTAGATAAATTTTTGGAAAACAAGATCCCATACACAGCGATGAAACAAAGTCTATGAGTAGATAAGACAATAAGAAAAAGAACCAGCCAAAAAGAATAGACAACAGGGAACATTCACAACCAACCTGCTACACGTCCTGTGGGAATTATTAGATCTGAAAGCCTTCAAAATTAGTTCTAAAATATTGGATTTCAACCAAAAGTTATTGGCTACTGTAACAGTTACTGGCTACTAGATAAATTGAGAAATACAGCTATACGTATGAGATTGTCTCTGCTTTTAGAGTAGCGGAAATTTTAATAGTAGCCAAATATGTATGCAGGGCTGGGGATATAGCTCAGAGGCCTGAATGCCTGCCTGGCAAGTGCAAGGTCCTGAGTTCAATTTCCAGTAACAAATAATAATAATAATATAATAATTCTAAGTATGCAGTTTTCTTCTTGTATTTATGAAGCTTTCACAGAGAGATTGCTAGGATCAACGAAAGAAGGAAAGGAGGAAAGAAAGAAAGAAATAAGAAAGAAGAGAGAATGAAAAGAAAGAAAAAACAAGTGCCAATTTCCATTAGGCATACATGCAAGTGTCTTAGATAGGCATTCATCAAAGAATATCAGGCATTTTTCAAAGAATGTCAGTAAGAAGTGTAAAATCAGCTTGTACTCACTGTAACACTGAAAAATACAATTATTAGAGTAAATATTAGAAATAAGGGAAGCATACCAAAGTGGAGAAATCGGTGACTTGCCTGAGAAAGTAATAACTGGGGTGTGAGTGACATGTAGAACTTACTGTTGTCTTCTAAAATGATAGCACAGCTCCTTGGCTGCTAAAACCATTAGCAGCTCTCTATCTGCCATGAGATAACTTCCTGTTAAATGTGACTTCTTATTAAATGTTCCTTCTCTTTTTGCCTGCCCTTGTCAGCCTAGGAAAGGAAGAGAAGGAAAGAGAAAATTCAACATACTTCCCCTTTAAACACAAGATTCACTATGTATGTTAATCCTTCCCTTTATCAACACACTGAATTCTTACATAAGCCAGAAGGGAAAGGTTTCTTCGGACTGTTTTCAGTAAAAACTAATGAAGAGGCTGCTGTAGCTCTTAACAATTACTTTAAACTTTGAGATTTTCAACAAATTTGGGGAGAAGAAGAAGTGTATTCATTATCAAGGCACATCTGATTTCTTAATCGTGATTCAAAACAAAATTCATGTCACGACTGTTGACTCCAGCTACGTACCCGACACTGCTACATTCTGGGTGTGCGCAACTCCTTTAGCCTCTCATACTTCCCTCATGCTTCCCTGGCTCTCCCAGACTATTGCCCCCAAGCCTGGGGGCTGTTGCTTTCTACTTGGTCTGCCAGAAGCTCCTTCAATTTTTCCTGATAAAAGTAGGCATCTGTTCTGTGAAAATATTCTTCTTTTGTTATATCATTGCTTCTTAATATGTCTATTACTAAAGATAGTAATTTGAAAATTAATTATTGAATTTGACAAAAAGTTATTATTTATAAAGACATAGAAATTTCTGCCCTTCCAGAAAATTTAGTTCCCTTCTTTTTAGTCTAGGAGCTCCCTGGAGTGAGAGGGTGTATCTTATTACTTCATGTTCCCAGACACAAAGTTAGTGTCGGGGGAAACCAAAATGTGTAACCCCCAAATATAATGGCTTGTTGGGAAGAAAGCATTCAAGAAGTGCATCTTGCAAAGTTTTCTGCCTTCCATTTTTCTAAAAGTGAGACATAGACTCACCCAGACCAAAGATACCCTCCTCTTCTCTCTACTGGGTACAAAAAAGCTTAACTACTAAAGATTTCTTCAGGTATTTTTAAAGTACAGATAAAATCACAGGAATACACGTGAAAAATATTTATAACCAGACTTTATTGCTACTTATTTGCCTTCCCATAGTTTACAACTCCTAGAGACTCTATATCCTTTTCCTTTGTCTTGAAACTCCTCTCAAATTTATTGTTCTATATTGAGGATGTTATATGAACTGAAATTCAAAGCTATTTCTCAGAGAACAAATCATTACCTGTAAAATATACATACTAATAAACTTGCACTTGTTTTTCTCTTGTTAGTCATCTTTTACTATAGGGATGTGTCCCAAATGAAAGTCTATTGTTGAAGGGAAAAGAATCATTATTATTCCCGTACATCTGTAAGTATAAAATAAAGAATGAGTTTGTGAATGTAAGTGTCATGAAAAGAAGAATGCATATATAAAACCAGCAATTTAAGAACATGGAAGAGATTTTAACTAAAAGTTACAACGAACAGTTTTTGGAAAAGGTGATATTTTATCTAAGTTTTGAAAGAAGGTGTTATGCATTCAAATGTGTCAACTCCATCCTAATGGCTACTACCTCAAAATTCCACCTTGTTTAGGACAAGAGTTATTGTAGATATAGTTAGGAGGAGTTGTTACCCACGTAATTCTTTAGAGGGAGATCACATAATTAAGAGTAGATGAGTCCTAACCTGTATGACTAGTAACTTTTAAGAAAGGGAAATTCAGATACAGACACACACACATAAGAACACCAAATAAAGATGTGTATAGAGGTTGAGTGAATGAATCAGAGGCCGTGGAATAGCAAAGATTGCCATCAAAGCACCAGAAGCTAAGAGAAAGAGACAAGGAACAAACTTTTTTCTTATACCCCTCAGGGGGAAAAAAAAAAAAAAAAACCCGACACTGCTAACATCTAATTCTAAATATATTTCCTGCAGAACTCTGAGGTAATGCATTTCTGTTGTATGAACCCACCCATCATGGTACTTTTTTATGGCATCTCTAACAAGATAGTAAAGGAGATAAGATTTCTTCAGTTAAATGAGGGCAGCACAGTAGAGTTAAACAAAGTGTTCATGGGGAAGAATAGCAAAGGTCTTCTAGGAACAGCTGATTCTCACAAAAGACATTGTATGGGGCAAGGAGTAAATACAGTTGATGCTCTTACTCCTGGGTTTCACATTCATAGATTCAACCAACTTCAAATACAAAATAGTAAAAAAATTACATCTGTACTAAATATGTACAAACTCTTTGTTGTGAT